GGAGACGCCTGCAGGGGACAAAAACAACACGGGACGAGGGTCATTTTCTCCCCCTTCTGTTCCCTCTCTGCGCGGCCCGGAGCGCGCGCTCGCGTGGACGCGTCTCTTGCCTTTGCGCGGCGAGCGCCGCTCCCCGGAGGACGAGCCCGGCGGCAGCTGGCCCGCAGCAGAAGGCCTCATGGTCATGTAGCCGCCCAAGCTGTCACTGTGAGGAGGAAAAGGGAGCAGTCTGGTCACCTCCTCCTACGCATGTTCCCGGGGGGGCGGCAGATACCGGCGCTCCGCCAAACACAAAGAAAAGAACCTGACCCGGCTGCGCGGCTGCGCGGCGCCACGTTGCGGTAGTAGCAGTCCCCGTCCGGCTTGAAGCAGACGAAGGACTCCCGCTTCCTGCGGAGGAAGTTGAGGAGGTCTCCGAAGCAGCAGTACTCGGTGATCACCAGCGTCGGGCCTGCGGACGGAAGGGACACCACAGGACTCACGACCAAAACCAGACCCCCCCCCCCCTCGAACCCCCCGTTAGAGACGACAGGGAACAAGATGGCCGCCGCACCTCCGACTGTGCAGGCGCCCAGCAGGTTGACGATGTTCATGTGGTTCCCCAGGTAGCTGAGCACCTTCAGCTCCGACATCAGCGCCTCTTTCTCCGTGGCGTGAGCGCTGGCTGTGGGCGGGGGCGGGTAAAGGGGGGGGTCATTTAAATAAAGGTTATTAACAATGAAGATATCAACAAACACCTGCCAGTTCCAGACGTCATTGATTGATGAATCTTTAGAGTGAGTCGGCCCCTTTTCAGTGATGGGATGGCACATAAATGATGGGAAGCATTTATGTGAACTGTGCATTATCGATCTATAAACCTAGATATATATCTATAGATATGATATGATATGAGGGGACTGGACCTGGACTTTGAGTGTAGTTCCCTGCTATCAGGTTCACGCCTCAGACAAACATTTGCCAACAGTTATAAAAGAAGTTTCCCTCGTTCTTTTACACATATCCAGGTTTCTTTCTACACAAACCGTTTATATTTGTACAGTGACTGGATTTGATGTGTTTTCACCGCCTGCTTGTTTATCGTATCTTTACTTTTTGGTTTTAAACGATGCACAATTGCTGCTGTAATATTTAAAAAGGTTCATGCTGATAATGTACGTTGTGTCTTCCCCCCCCCGTCCTTCTCCTCTTTTCTGGACGTTTGAAGCGACTCGTACTTTTGAGCATCTTCACGGCCACCGTCATCGCCGAGTCGTCCTCGGAGAGCCCGTACGCCGTGGCCTCCACCACCTTCCCGAACGCCCCCGACCCCAGCGTCTTCCCTGCAAGGCAGACACGGAAAAACTGTTAATTCCTCCGTCCTGCCCCCCCCGACCGGCCGGCCGGCCCCGCGCCACCTGTCCCAGGACAGCGGCGGTTTGGGCCCCCGGGGGTGTTTGTGTGCGCAGGCACCCGGACATGCAGGATCCTGCTGGAGGCAGAGCGTGTCAACAGGGCGTGTTTCCAGTGAGGGAGTAGAGGGGGGGGCTGACCACACACCGCTGTTTGTCCACCGGCCGAGGCTTCTATTACGGACCCCAACGCCCCCCCCCCCATCGCCCCGACGCCGACCCGTCGCCCGGACAAGCGCAGCTCACCGAAGCGCAGGTTGTTGCGCGGGAACTCCCACTCGTGGTCGTACAGCAGCTGGGCGGGGTCGATGTAGATGTAGTTGTTTCCGTGCACGCCCTCGATGACCTTCCACTGGATCTGGTATTTGGGTTTCTGGGAGCAACACAAAAAAACAACACAAACCCCCGTGAGTGACCCGGGAGACGGGCGGCGCTGTGCGTTTTGCGGCGGACTCACCTGCAGGTACTTGTAGAGCAGCAGGACGAGGACGAGCACGAGGAGGCCCGCCGCCGACACGGAGCCGATGAGCAGCGGGGAGAACAGATCGTGGCCGACGGTTCTCTCTGCAGGGGGGCGGAGCGACGCCTGGTTATGAGCGCTTGTACAAGCCGTCATTGGCGGACTATGAGGACGCCGGATGGCCTCTGATTCATGGAGGGAGATCTCCACCAACGAGGGAACAAAGTCGTGGAGGAAAATACGGGACAAATGTGTCCGTGATGAAGAGCAGCAGTGTGGATGCACGGGGCAATAAAGTCTATGATCAATAAATAAAGCAACCAGCGACTTCCACACACAAAGACATGACTCTCCAGGTCGTCTTCAACAAAACACGTGACTCCACCTGTTGTTCTGGAGGTGAATCGCTCTGCAACACACGCAGGACTTTACAACCAGGAAGTGAAACCAGCGCGTCGACGGGGAAACACACGGCGGCCTTCACGTGTGGCGGCGCGTTAAAGAGCTGCTTCTTCTCTTCAACAACATCAGCGACGGAACTCGAGGGAACCGTAAAGGAACTTAACGGAACCTCTGTGTGTCATAACAGGACCTTGACCTTAACATCACATATTTGTTTAGTGAAGCCGAGAACGTTAGAAAAACATTTTGGATGATTAAACTGTTTAATTCATCTGGTGATTTGGGATCTTTTTCATCGGGACGTCATACGGATCCTTTAATAATAAACAGCCAAATAGTTGAGAGCAAATGCAGTTTATTGGATATTGTTTTTATATCGTAGGTGCTTTGACAACATGTGGATCTAATGACAAATTTGATAACAGGGAAATTTATAAAAATGAGATCATCTAATTGTGAGACAATTTTTGGAAATGTTTTTGTCTTACGAGACGATAGAAAATGAACTGGATTACGCAACAGTAAAAGGAAATCAGGCTGATAACATGAAATGTGATCGAGCCAGTCAGCAGGGACGGATACACTCTAAATAAACTAATCCCAAAAATTAATTAAAACGTGTAAAAAATAATTTGGCTTTTCTGTCTCTCCTGCGTCTGTAAACTCTGTATTTCTTTTTGGTAGAAATGCTTTAATATCCGTATCCTCCGCGCGGTGTTATTATTATTATTACACCGTCTTCCTGCTGCTTCTAAAGCTGCGCCTGGCGACCGTTGTCCTGTTCCTTTGTGTGTTTGTGACGCCTCATTGTGTTGCTCCTCTGTACGGGGGGGCGGAGGGGGGGGGGGGGGGGTAACAAGCTCTTTAGCGATAAGAAGCTTTCTCACCACCTCCGATCTGAGAACGCAGCGTCTGCAGGGACTAATTCCCTGTAAACCTGTCAGTGTGTTCCATGGTGTGACACCTCCCAGCCTCCCACAGACCCCCCGGACGGACCCCCCCCCCCCCCCCCGCCCCCCCGCTGAGCTCCACACTCTCTCCGCCTGCTCGGCGAAGCCCACAAAGACCCTTTGGGACACGCTCCCAAAAAACGCCTAATGCAAAAAGGGCCTCTCCACTCGCCCCCCCCCCCCCCAAAGAAGGCCGACCTGATGGCTTAATCCTCACAAACCACGCGGCTAGTAAATATTTTCAGTTGAGGATTAAGTCGGTTTACAGAGCTGCTGAGATAACTTTGTTTCTCTGCCCACAAAGCGGGCTTTCTTTTTAACAAAGTGTTTACTGATGTGTGCAGCCTGAGATCTCCACCTCTGTGTGTGTGTGTGTGTGTGTGTGTGTGTGTGTGTGTGTGTGTGTGTTGACTCTTAATTCTCATCTGGAGGTGAAGACACGCAAAGGAATTTACACCAAATCAGCAACGGAACACGAGACTGACAGGCGCTAACCGATCTATCTGTGTGCGCGTGCGTGTGCGTGCGTGTTGGTGCACTGCTGGGACTCACCGCTGATGGAGAACAGCGTGTAGGCCTGCTCGCCCTCCACCGTGGCCACGCACTCCAGCGTGCTGAAGCGGCCGCGGCTCACGTTCACGCGGCTCTCCACCTCCGTCTTGCCGAACAGGGGGCTGAACAGCGTGACGGTCATGACGTTGTGCTCCTCCTGGGTGGCGTTCACCTGCTGGGAGCACCTGGCGGCGGGGGGGGTGGGGGGGGGGACACACGACCCTGGTGACACATCTGCTGAGACTTCAAACCATCTTCTACATGACACGGTAGAGAGCCGTCAATCACGGCGTGGCCCCGCCCTAAAGCCTCCCCTGTGTTTTGCTCCGTTTGGCTAAATAAATATTTGCCTTCTCTTAGACTCGGGGTCGCTGTCCTCACAACTCGTCCCTGGTTTTAGGATTTTGCCCACTTCCTGTCTGGATTAATAATCTGAATTATTTGGGGTCCGACCATCTGATCCCCACTTAACCCCAAAAGAATATTTCTACCCAATATAAATTGCACATCCACGTCGCACTACATCAGTGATCGCGGGGAGGCTCCTCCCGCGCTCATGAACCACTGAGATGGTGAATGAAATGTGCAGTGGTTCTCCGGTCCCGGCTCGCTCTCTCTCCTCACGTTGGCGTGCGTCTTTGTGATGAGCATTAAGTGGATTTGATTACAGAATTACTAGATGGAGTTTGGATAATCACTTGTGATTCACAGCCGGTGCTGCTTGGGATTGGTTGTTGCCACGGCAACCAGTCACCCCTCCTCTCTCCGCGCTCCGTGTTTGACACGCGATGGACGGCCGGGTTCGTGTCCCAGGCGGACGTCATGGGCCCGTCCGCCAATCACAAGTCCCCTGGGTGCCGCATGAAGGTCATCAGCCAATCACAAGTCAGCGCCGGGAAACAATTCCCACACCCCGCCGCCATCGTCGCCCGGCGGGTCTGTGCGGTGACCTTCGGGACCCTGGAGCTGCAACCTGAGCGCGTGACACGGCACATAATGTGTAATGGGAGGAGCCACGTGTCTACACGCGCATAGTGTCGTGTCTTTGCTACGAGATACGACATAATAGAGCGACTTGTTGCAGACGAAGGGTTATCATCTCTAGACAGGAAGCCGCAAAACAGGATCACGTTACAGGTCATCTAGCTGACGCTTTGATCCAAAGTGACCTACATTGCTTTTTTATCCCATGGCGTTTTACATTTTTGCCCAGGGAGCAATTAGGGGTTAGATGTCTTGCTCGGGGACACTTCAACATGGGACATGGAGCAGCCGGGGCTCGAACCGCCAACCTTGGGGTTCCCAGCGCTCCCTCTCTACTCCTGCACCACCAACCATGGTTTCACTTTTATGATTTTCAAGGCGTGAATACAATCAGAGAAGGGAAAAATGCAGCATTAATCTAACCATAAAGGAACCCCACCACGGTCACATGACGGTCACATGACCTTATGTAAGGCTGTAAAGGAACCCCACCACGGTCACATGACCTTGTGTTAGGCTGTAAAGGAACCCCACCACGGTCACATGACGGTCACATGACCTTATGTAAGGCTGTAAAGGAACCCCACCACGGTCACATGACCTTGTGTTAGGCTGTAAAGGAACCCCACCACGGTCACATGACCTTGTGTTAGGCTGTAAAGGAACCCCACCACGGTCACATGACCTTATGTTAGGCTGTAAAGGAACCCCACCACGGTCACATGATCTTATGTTAGGATGTCACATGGCGGTCACATGACCTTATGTTAGGCTGTAAAGGAACCCCACCACGGTCACATGACGGTCACATGACCTTATGTAAGGCTGTAAAGGAACCCCACCACGGTCACATGACCTTGTGTTAGGCTGTAAAGGAACCCCACCACGGTCACATGACGGTCACATGACCTTATGTTAGGCTGTAAAGGAACCCCACCACGGTCACATGACGGTCACATGACCTTATGTTAGGCTGTAAAGGAACCCCACCACGGTCACATGACCTTGCATCTCCACCTCTAAGCTAAAGGAGGACACGTGTTTTGTTCACTCGTTCACTGACCTGTTTTAAATCAAAACTTCAAAATGTCTTTGGCTCAAACCACAGACTTTACTTCAGACATCCAACGAAAAACACATTGACCAAGAAACGAGAGCCACAAGAACAAAAAAGCCGACTCATTTCCTGGTTTTAGGACTAATCCCTGCAGAAATGTATTGGGATTTCTAATTTATTATCATTTCAATTTACAAAAGAATCCATGAACATGGATATGAAGCTGGCTCAGGTCTAATCAGCGGTTAGACCTGAGGAGGTGAGTGTAATTCGATGGACATCATTTCCCTCCAATATATTGTGTGGGGCGTGAAGACGAGACGAGGAGCGACACAGAATCTCAGATTGTATCAGAGAAGGAAAATAAAAGCAGAGCCGTTTTTCTTTGTGTGACTGATCGAATTGGTCCAATCCCTGATATTACTTTGGTTTGCAGTTCGGTTCACTGATCATCACAACTCAACTCCATTCATCCAGTCGTTTACACTGAGGAATGATCCCAAAAACCTTCACCAGAAAGAGGCCTCACCTGGCGTAGGGCTGCTCGCAGTAGTACCATGTGATCTGCGGGGCGGGGAAACCCTCGGCGACGCAGCGCACCTGCCCGTCCACTGGACCCTCGTGGGACACAATCTCAGGTTTACCTTGGAGAAGACACACAGCGTCAGGGCTGAGGCCAGCGAGAAGATCCATCACGCCAGGAGAAGAGAAGGAACCTCGGACGCCACTTACTGATGACGAAGATGGTGAAGGTGTGGTTCACGGAGGCGTCGCCGTTAGAGGCCTGAAAGGTGTAGACTCCGCCCTCGGACGTCTTCAGGCGCACCAGCCTCAGCTCGCTGCTGAACCTACGCAAGGAACGATACACGTTGAAGCTTTTCTATCTTCTATTTCTGCTGAATTATTAACATTCCTGTTACCGTCTTCTTTTTATTATTGTCTCTGTTCATACATGGGTCAGGGGGTAGGGTTAGGGTTAGGGGGTAGGATCAGGGTTAGGGGGTAGGGTTAGGGTTAGGGGGTAGGATCAGGGTCAGGGGGTAGGGTTAGGGTTAGGGGGTAGGGTTAGGGTAACCTAACCCTAGTGTGCGTTCTAGTGTGCGTTCTATTGCTTTTAAATTGAAAAAAAGAAAGAATTTCCTTCTGGAAGGTCCATGGTATTTGAATGTACCGCCCTGTGAGGTTTAATGGAAAGGCCTTAAACTGCTGAAACATTTCACATCACATGCCGTTGGTTTATGGCGGTTCGTTTTTGGTCGTTCGTTTCTCTTCAAAGTCAGTTTATTGTGTATTTATTTATTGACCGATGTGCTCCGTCACCAGCCCTTTATTTGCTCGAGGGGGATGTGGGGGGGGGGATTCTCCCCCCGTTTATATGCAGTTCCCGTTTCCACGAGAAAACCCCCCCCTGAGTGTTTCTGTAAATTCCGGCCGCGCTTCTCGGCTCGCTGTGAACGCGGCGCCTCCTCTGACCGGCAGCCCGATGCCGAGCCGTCAAATTCCACCCTTTGGGGTTAATGAACATCGTGGCGTTGGGGGGGGGGGGTGTGCATTTGTGTGCGTCCCACCTGTACTGGTGGCTGCTGGCGCTGATGACGTGGTCCGTGGTGTTCCTCAGCACGCGGCCCATGAAGCTCCAGCGGACGGCGCGCGGCCTCGGATACGCCTCCAGCTCGACCTTCAGGGGCAAGCTCTCGCCTGAGCGCACGTGGATGGTTTCGTTGATGGTGGGTTTTAGATGGATGAATCCTTTCTCTGAAAGAAGGAGGGAAGCGTAGATATTTGTTCAGGGATTTGCAGACGTATCTGAGGATTTGAGTCCATTTCTATTTGGCTGTGAAGTGATCGAAGAGGAAGCAAACAGCTGCGTAGATGTAAATGGAGGCCTGGAGTTATGTTCATACATGCAAAGTCAGAAGAGAAGTTCAGTATCACTCTTATGTCTGGCAGCGGGGTAGCTTAGCTTAGCATAAAGACAGGAAATGGGGTAACTAAACCTCTCTATGAGCAACGACAATTAACATATAGATGTTGTCCGGCCAAAGCAGAGCAGCTTTTCTATCGTTTTTTCCCGTGACAAGTTATTTCTTCGGCAGCATCGGGCAGGAAGAAACCGGGCTAACGTTGTTTTAGCAGGTTTGAGATGAATGAGACCTCAGCGTGTAATAAAATGTCCATTCAGGAAGCCGCTCCTCGTTCATTCCAACCAAACGTAAATTCAGCTAATGGAGGCGCTGATGGAGCTCGTAGGAAGCAGCATGCTAAGCTAAGTGGGACGACAACGCACGTCAACGCTCGCCAAAGAAAGGTTTGACAGCTGTGTGTAAAATTATGCTTTTACTGGGAATTTGATTGACCCCAAAATATATAAATCGCTGAGGAAAGTCTCTCTATCACTTGGAGGACCTGGGACTTGTACGGGTTTGATATAAAACTCTCCTCATCCATCGGTTGCATTTCCAGATTTACGGCATCAAGAGACCGAAGGTTTCGCCTAAAATAAATAAAGTCACCAAAACTCACCGTAGACGTCAAGCCTCGCCGACTGCGAGCTGACGCCTTTCTCGTTCTGGGCTTCGCATCGGTACGTCCCAACGTCCTGAGGTCCGACCGCCGCGATGTGCAACGTGGCGCTGCGCACGTGAATGAAGTCCTCCGTCCGGATGCGTGAAGCAGTGTCAACCTTTGCTGGTTGCTGTGGATACCAGACGGCACCCTGTCAACGCCCAGAGATCTCTAGAGATTAACCCCGTCTGCTCGTCTATCGTCGCCAAGCACACAACACAGGCGCACAACCTGCTGCGCGGAATCACACACAGCGCCACGGTAGTGCACATAGAACACACACAGCCAGGACCCTGAAGCTTAGACAGCGAGAACTTTGACCCCGTCCACTCTCGTTCTTAAAAATAAACTGATACCAGGTTTTTGTAGATTACAACACATGTTTATCTTGATTGTCGCTCAGGGTCGAGACATTTAAAGACATTTGAGAGTTAGTTGGGACCAGTTTCCGGGTAAAAAGCTTTTTTGTTTTTTGTGGTTGACCCTGAGGAACATTCATTTTTTGTTGATTATAAGGTGGTGGTCTCTGAGTACCAGGCTCCCTTTAGAACCTCTCATTCTACTGCAGCAGGTTCTGGTTTCTCAGTTACTGGTGGAGGTCTAAACAGGATCAGGACTAAACTGGTCTAGAAACCGTTAAAAGCTCCTCAGAGTAGCTTTAAGTCAAACATCTGATTTGTGAAGCTCAGTATTTGTTAACTAGAATCTTCCACCAACAGCACACGGCAAAGGAAGGGAAGAAGGTCTCACCGAGCCGGGAGGAGGGAGCCACTTCAGCACGATTTCCGCGTTGACGTTGGTGGTGTTGCAGGTGATGGAGAGACTCTCGTTCCGTGTGAGAATCACTCTTTTGTTCGCCTGCATCTCAATCACAGGAGGAGCAACAGGGACTAAAAAATAAATGAATGAATAGCAATTATGGACCTGGTCTCCTGCACACAATTAAACCCCGTCCCGCTCTGGTGCGCGCTCTCACCCGGTCTCACTGTCAGGTAGTAGCGATGTGACTGGACGCGCTCTCGCCCGAGGCGCCCCGTGCACACGTAGCAGCCCTCGAAGGCCTTCTGCGTGTTGTGGATGACGATGCCTCGCTCCAGGCTGGGAGACGACCGGAGGCCCGAGGCCGGAGCCCCGCCGGAGCACGCCTCCAGGCGCAGGTTGTCCAGACTCGGATCGGTTGCCAGGCAAGGGATGGAAGCGTTGTCGCCCACTCGAGTCAGGATGTTGAACACCATTGATTTTCTGAAGGGATTGTCGGGATCTGCCAAAAACACGGAGGCGTCAGAGTTGTACACTGAACCGATGAGGCTTTGGTTTGTGATCGTGTGCCAAGTTCAGCAATGGAACGCCAACATACATTATTTTGACTTCCTCTCTTCTGATAACTGAGACTAACCTGCTGTTTCTCATTCCATGACCTGCTTCGTACGACGGGTAGTGAAGAGCACATTTGGAAAAATGTCTTTTGCTTCCTTCTTTGCACTAAAGTTAAGCTACTGCCCTTTTCATGAAGACCCCCCCCCTTTTATGCTATTTGTGGTGTGGACCGCCATTCCAGTACCGCGTTCAAATGAGCTTCACGTGCACGAGCGTTCACTGAAAACAAAGAACGTGTGTAACGGGGGTCGAATAGATCGATCGTCTCAGAGCAAGAAATGACCCAGAACCGTCCGCTCCTCGAGCAGTAAGGTGGGTCCTTTTCATTTATTCAACTACTGACAGACTTCATGGTTCGTGTGAAGCTGACGTTAGAACCCATCTGGTGGTTCACTGACTGGACCTGGTCTTGGTGCATTTTGTTTTATTTTGTCTTACTGAAAACAGCCCTTCTGTTCTCTCTCTGCTGATGCAAATGCAACAAGCCACGTTTGACTATTAGTCAAATTGTAACATCTTGTAACAATGCCGCGTGTGCGCTTCTCGTCACGGACGAGTTACCGCGCGCTGGAGCGGCGTGCGGTGAATGACGAGCACGCGACGCTCGCCTGCGGCCACGGCCGCTCCGCCAGTACGCGCCACACCTGTCCAGGTGAGAGTCCCAGGGCTACCTTTCACGTAGACGTAGATGGAGCTGCGCTCCTTGGTGCTCTCCTCCAGGCAGATGTAGCGGCCCATGTGGACGGGCTGAGCCTTGGCGATGCGCAGCGTGGACGTCCCCGCCACCCGCTTCTCGCCCCGCACCTTCGGCCGGTCCTCCCGCTGCCACTGCGTCTCCGTGTCGCCGTGGCAACGCAGCTCGAAGGGCGCATTGAGCGGGACGACGAGGTGGGGGCCGGCGGGGGAGACGGTGGGCTTGGTGTCGCCTGTGAAGTGAAATCAACTGCATGTGAAACATGACAAACTCCCGACGAGGCGGTTTGTGATGTGTGCGTGCGTTAGAACAGAAGTGCTGATAACTCAAACAACAAGTCCAGGATATCATTTTAGAGGAACTCCTCAAAGTCACGCTACCTGTGTCAACACCTGCAAAGAGTAAATCCAAACCGTCCCTGATCAAACCAACGGGATCGAATTCCTTTAAACCCCAAAACAAACAAACAGGATTGGTTTGGAGGCTTTCTTGACTCACAGCAGGTCTCAGCCTCAGAGTGCAACACATTCAGCCTGAAGCATCTAGTGAGCTGACACATTCGTTTTGGGACAAAAAAGAGATTTTTCATCATTTGAGAAAGACAAACATTTTTATTTCTCATCTACAACTGCGTCTGCGTGACCCTCAGCTGGAATCACGGTATTTTGGACTGTTGTCCAGGCAACGAGACTGACACTGCGACAGCTTTCATCAAAGCCGCTAAAGAGACGAACCCCGCAGGACGACAGCTTCCTCCGGGGGGCCGGCAGCCGGTGAGACACGTGAGCCACCGAGGGGTTCTAGGGGCCACGGAGGGGTCAGCGCGCTTGGCCCGAGATTTCCGATGGCAGCTACGAGCCGCGGCCCTCAGTGTGAATCTCACCATTGAGCCCCTGGATGTTTACAATGCGTATGAGGGCCATTAAACGCGGGCTAACCAGAAAGGGCCCCGGCCCCTTGTGGTTTAACACATAAGTCAGCTGGACAAGACGGACCCTCAGACCCCTTGCTGTTTAGAACCCCTCGGGGCCGTTGCTACCCGCAGCTTAAGGGTCGCTGGGATCCTCTGGATCTAAAGAGTGACCTCTGTCAGCCCTCAATGAGCCGTCTGACAATCAATAATTGTACTTTGATGAACCTCTGATGGTCCAAAGACATCACGCGTATTGTGTTGAGCGACTCCACGCTTAAATAAATAGAGACAACATGAACACAACGAGGTGTGGTGATGTGATGGTGATGTGATGGTGATGTGATGGTGTTGTGATGGTGATGTGATGGTGATGTGATGGTGATGTGATGGTGATGTGATGGTGATGTGATGGTGATGTGATGGTGATGTGATGGTGATGTGATGGTGATGTGATGGTGTTGTGATGGTGTTGTGATGGTGATGTGATGGTGATGTGATGGTGATGTGATGGTGATGTGATGGTGATGTGATGGTGTTGTGATGGTGATGTGATGGTGTTGTGATGGTGTTGTGATGGTGATGTGATGGTGATGTGACGGTGTTGTGATGGTGATGTGATGGTGATGGTCGCTTCTCAACCGGTGAACTCGAGTCACACACAACAGCCTCTACGGTCCGATACGGTGAAATCGGCCCGTGCAAACGGGCATCACGTGACAGACAAGCTCCTCTGCTCGCACGCAACGAGGTTGTTTCCTCTGAACGGCTGCTGAGGAGACGCATTCAGCCTCACGTGTTGTGTGTTTCTAACAAAGCTCGGCGTGTGTCTGCTTTGCATACTTCCTCATGATCGGGACTCGCTGATAACGTTTTATTTCCATAAAGACGGTTTGAGGAAAAGCGCGTGCACCTGCCGCGGGCCCTCGAGCGCAGCGCGGCGCACAGGTCCCCGCGCGTGTCGTTCCCATCCTCCGGTTATCAATGGCGCCCCGCGCCATGGCGCACGGAGCCGACGGGCTGCGGGTCGCTGCACCGCAACAAAGAGAAGTGGTGGGAAAGCGCCGCGGGATGCCGATGGACACCCGGCTCCCTGCGAGCTGGATTATCGGTGCCACCGGGACCCGCGGTCACCCAGAGACAGAGCCGAGTCTGCGCACAAATACCCGTAAAACAGCAACAAGTGGCTCACCTGGATGGAAGGTTATCTGCAGAAACACAGACAGCAGGATCCAGTGGTATTCCATAGTCATTATTCCATGGGGCCAGCCGCGAAGGTGAGCCTCCCCGCGGGGTTACGGTGCCTCTCCGCGGGGTTACGGTGCCTCTCCGCGGGGTTACGGTGCCTCTCCGCGGGGTTACGGTGCCTCTCCGCGGGGTTAAGGTGCCTCTCCGCGGGGTTACGGTGCCGCTCCGCGGGGTTACGGTGCCTCTCCGCGGGGTTACGGTGCCTCTCCGCGGGGTTACGGTGCCTCTCCGCGGGGTTAAGGTGCCTCTGCGCTGCACTGCGAGGCGCGTCAGAGTTGTGGACAAGTTGGAGCTGTGCGCACTCACAAGCCTTTAAAGGCGCAGATGCTCAGTGGAGCAGCGCGCAACCGTCTCCAACAACATCCGCACACATCGCTGTTCTCCTTTCCTGTGTGTGTGTGTGTGTGGGGGGGGGAGGGGGGGGGGGGGGGGGGGGGGGCAGTCTGGGTTTTTATTATCTGTTATTTAATAAAGCATCCGAGTCTCTCCACACACCACGGACCGTAATTACATTTGTACAGGATTTTCTATTCAGCACACACACTTGAGACCATTAACACAGAAAACTAAACTGGCAGCAGCACATAATGACCCTTTGTGTGTCCGTCATGAGAACACGCATGACGCATGTTTTTTCACTCACACACTCCCAGATTTGTCCTTTTTCTCCAATGGATCGAACTGGTCTCTGCAGAATGTTGACAGGAATCAGTGATTTCCCTTTTTATTGAAAACAGCCCTTTATTATTGTTTCCTTTGATTCTTCCCAACCGACCTCATTATTTGTGTGAGTGACACAGTTTATGTTTCATGTTGACATCATTTGTGTGGTTGTGGTTTAAAGGGTCAAAAAACAGGTTTGAAGTTTTGCACATTCAAAAAGTCGGTCGGGCTGCAGTTCCTCAAATGGCCACTTGGGGTCTAAAAGCCAGTAAGTGACCATAGATTTCGATGTTAAAATGATTAACTTTAACACCCAAATGAACATGTTTTTAGTCCCCTATGAAGACTCGGCGTTGTTCTCTTCTTTGTTGCTGTTAATGACAATTGACTCCCATTTGAGTGACATGGATTCTTGTTTTAATCAAGCTTTATCCAACACTTTTATCTGCCTATATTTGGGATAATTGGCCCTTTCTGCTGGTAGGTGGAGACTTGGAGACGTCCAACGTTTGCCATTGGTCTGAAATAAGTGTCTTTGGCTCCGGATGTGACCCGAAACCAACCCAAACAGTGTGTGAGGAATGGCAGACTTTTTAAACTTAAAAACTCATTTAAACAGACACAATGAAATCCAAGGCACATTTTTAGCAAACACGTCGTCACTAATCCATGAAGGGTCCTCGGTAGTTTTCATGTGGCAAACAACGTTCTCGACTAGACTGTTCTTGTAATTCTAAACCACAACCATCATGATCAGACACCCGTGCAACTCTCTGATCTTTCAGCTTTTATCAAACACCACACGTGTAAATCGTAGCACAGTTTGGGATCTGACGCCTGTATCTGTTGGACTCTCTGCTGCACGCTGCTGCATTAATGCGTTTATTAATCATCCTGCTGGATTCCCCGAGGAGAGTTTGAAACAACAAGTTCCTGTATTCATTAGCTGCCTTTGACCCGTAAACAGGGCATTTGTGAGGAGAAATGTTATGTGTGTTGTAAAAACGTTACAGACATGAACCGTAAACCGAAGCCTAAATGGATTCTGTCATTTAATATCCTTCCCAATCACTTCTCACAAGGCGAGCGGCGCAGACCACTCCTCAGAGCTCTAATGGGCTGAAACCAAACCTCTAATTCAACTTCCTCGAAGCACTAACTCCCGTGAAAGAGACATCAGTTGTCACACATTCACATAAAAGTGTGGTTTTCTGTCTGATCTGCACAGGGAAACCGGTGAGACAGCAGCTTGTGGTCCATTGGGGAGAGAAGTAGGAGGACGGACGCTGCATTGATCATACGTGTAGCCGGAGCGCCTCCACCTTGCAGCGCCGGATGGAAACGTGGGGATGTTCGCTTCCGTTGGTCTTCAAACCTCCATCACAGCCCGTACTGGTCTCCATGCTACCTCGTTTTTATTAACTATCCATATCAGTTTATGTGAACTACAAACCATTAAATTTGATATATTCATTTAACGTTCAACGTTGTCCATCAGATACACCGTCTGCATCCGGGTCACATCCGCCCTCAGACACACAAACACTGTGTCGTGCTGATGACGCACAAACTCACCTGCTGAAAACATTTGAGGGTTTTCTGTAAATCTGTCCAACAACAAACGCTCCTTCGTAAACGTGTCAACACATTTGATCCTCGGACCAGTGTCCACTTTCCTAACTCCTCGGGAACTCTCCTCACCACCTTTCCTTGGCCCTGTGACCTTTTTCCACACAGGTCAAGGAACAGTGGTTAGGAAAAGACGCTGGGAGACGTTTTTTGACGACTCGAATCCAGCCAGAGAATTATTCAAATTAAAGAGGGAAATTCAACAGTCAGCGCGTGTTTTCACCTGCAGAGGAGTCGACGTGAACAGAACAGAAAATGTCTTTTTCCCGCCAACATTTGCCTTTTGAAAGAGAACCGCCGGCTCGGAAAGAAGCCAACTGCCTTCCCCCTGTGGTTGTGTAATCACTTAATCCCCCATGTGCTCTGTGTTGTTGTCATGTGTTTTAGTGCCGTGTGCAATTCAATAAAGGTGTTTGACAGCAGACGTCCTGCATACAATCCAATAACCTTTCATTTTGATGGCAAAGGGAATGCTGAAGCGCGTGTAGTTGAGGGTAAAATATAACACGTCCTTGTTAACAAAAGGAGAACGAAGCAGTAGAATTACACACATATCCAAACGCTGACGAAAAAACTAAAGAATGGACACTACCGGGACCAGAGGGACCAGAAGAACCCTGTTGGCTACCAAGACAGGAAGGGATCTCGGCTGTAACCGAGATCTGAGCCTGAAAATCTAACTTTGAAATGTGTGACCTATTTGTCTGCCCCACAAGTAGAACTCTAGTTATTATAATAGTTATGAAACCAAAGACGCCTTGTAACCTCAACAATCCACATGTTCACCAAAGAAAGGTCATGTATCTTCTGCTACAGGCACGGCGTGTGTGGGGGTGAAGGTGTCCTTCACCAGATAAATCGGGGTCTCAGGGGCTTTGTTTCATTCCAGTGAGTTTAGTAGAACTAAAATACAAAAAGCAGGATTGTTTTGGTCCTAAATACTGTTGATGTCATGAAGAAGATAAATGAGATTCAACGACGCTAATGGACCTTTACTTTCACCAGTTGGACGGCGACAGCGAGATTGTGATGATTAAAACATTAACAACTTGCTTCATCCACACATTATTACTGGCAGATAAGTGTCAGCTTTGTTGGGCTCAATGTCCGTAGCTAGTGTATCATTTAAGTATGGCACGATTAGCAAGATAGCTAGCCAGATACTGGGCAGTTGGCTAGTTAGCTAGTTAGCTAGCTAGCCATTCCTGCACGATTTATTGCCCCAACGGGATCCCGACAGCGCTATTGATGATATGTATGTGGTGCTTGGCGCTCTGAATAACGATAAAAACTATGTTAATGTTCTAATCACACCTCACGGTTCCCAACAGGGTCAGAATATTAAAAATGAGCTTTAATCCCTTGAAACACTCGACTGAGCAACGAACCTTTCAACGTGATGCTAACGGACTGCGACGGACAGTCACCAGAGAGGAAGTAGGAGGTCTCACACAGTCGGTCAGACGGCTGAGCGTCGCCTTCGCTCAGACACATTTACCACGTGGACGTGACTGGAAACCCCGACGTTTAGACGTTCACTTCACCGCGGCTTCTTTGATGTTTCACTCGAGGAGGTTTATTCAGATATGAAACTAAAGCTCTCTGTAAACCCCCCCGGGCTCCACTTGGGATATTTTATTGGGAACAGGCAGATGAGGAAAAGCTTCAGCAAGGCTCCCGTAACGTTTCCTCCGGGACTCGTTTGCGTACGACAATATTGACTCAGGCAAAAAAGGTGTGTCGGCCCAGGTGGACCGATGTCACCTGACAGCCTTTTGCTTTTGTGGTTTCTGTTATTTAAGCATCGGACCTCAATCATAATAAGTAAATGTTGACAGAGGGCAGCTGTCTCCTGGGTGAAAGTCTGCTTCTTGTGTGTTTGCTCCTCGTCGTCGTTGTAAAGACTTTTAAACATCTTATCAATGTAAAAAATCTCCCGTTTGTCCCGTCGTGCAGCTTATTAACTTTAAACTGTTTTTTTTGTTTACTTTGTAAATTGTATCGCAGTTTGGCTTTGAAGGTAAAACAAATTCAACAATTATTTTTACTGTTTTTTTTACTATATTTATTCATTTGTATTTACAACGAATGTAAAACAAAAAGGAAAAACGCTGCATGTAAATAAATGTCAGAGAAAACTCTTAAAACTTTAAATAAAACTTGTTTGTTTATGTTTTAAAAGAGCAATTCTCTCTTTGGTTTTTTTTGCTTTCTAAATTTGTTTACTCTGTTTTTGTGTTTTCTATATTTCGCCTTTTCTGTGTGTTCTGTATTTCATGTGCGATCTGAGTGTGTTTTTATGCAGTTGTGTGTGTTGTGTTGGTGCTGCCGTGTCCTGAGGGTCTGTGGACCAACAAACAGAACAGTCGATGTTTTGTTCCACTGTGTTTTACTTCAGCCAGGAGGCCTGGAAACAGAGTTTGACACAATACTGGATTTCTGCAGGAAATAAAAAGCCAGTGTCAGTGGCCATTACCCAGAGTTCATAGCACTTCTCCTCTTCATGGGTGGAACACGATGCTGATTAAGATGTCGCTTCTCAAGAAGCTGTCCATGAAGACACAGCCGATGAAGATGAGGGCGAAGAAGACAATGCTGATGAAGACGTCTCAGATGAAGACGTTGCAGATGAAGACGCTGCCGATGAAGACGATGGAGATGAAGACGTTGCAGATGAAGACGTTGCCAATGAAGATGCTGCTGATGAAGACGTTGGCAATGAAGACACTGATGATGAAGACAATGCCAATGAAGACGCTGATGATGAAGACGTTGCCAATGAAGACGTTGCAGATGAAGATGATGGCGATGAAGACAATGCCAATGAAGACGCTGATGATGAAGACGTTGCAGATGAAGACGTTGCCAATGAAGATGCTGCTGATGAAGATGATGGCGATGAAGACAATGCCAATGAAGACGCTGATGATGAAGACGCTGATGATGAAGACGTTGCCAATGAAGACGTTGCAGATGAAGATGATGGCGATGAAGACAATGCCAATGAAGACGCTGATGATGAAGACGTTGCAGATGAAGACGTTGCCAATGAAGACGCTGCAGATGAAGATGATGGCGATGAAGACAATGCCTATGAAGACAT